AGAAAGCTAAACATCCTGATAAAACATTGCCAGAGTGAATGACAAAATAGCCAGTATAAAGGAGAACATAACCAATCAGATAGAGCTGAAAAGCACACTACAAGAATTTCATAGTGTAGTCACAAGTATTAACAGCAGAATACAACAAGTGGAGGAAAGAATCCCAGTGCTTGAAGACTGGTTTTCTGACATAAGACAGGAAGACAAGAATAGAATAAAAAGAATGAAAAGGAATGAACAAAACCTCCCAGAAACATGGGATTATGTAAAGAAACTGAATCTAGGAATGATTGGTGTACCTGAAAGAGATGGAGAGATTGGAATCAATTTGCAAAACATTTCAGGATATCATCTATGAGAACTTCCCCAACCTAGCTAGACAGGCCAATATTCAAATTCAGAAATGCAGAGGACCCCAGTAAGTTACTATGTGAAAAGATCATCCCCAAGACACATAATCATCAGATTCTCCAAGATTGATATGAAAGAAAAAATGTTAAGGGCAGCAAGAGAGAAGGGCCAGGTTATCTACAAAGGGAAGCCGATTAGACTAACAGTGGACCTCTCAGTGGAAACCCTACAAGCCTGAAGAGATTGAGGGCCAATATTCAACATTCTTAAAGAAAAGAATTTCCAACCCAAAATTTCATATCCGGTCAAACTAAGCTTCATCAACAAAGGAGAAATAAGATTATTTTCAGACAAACAAATGCCACTGGAATTCATTACCACCAGACTTGCATTACAAGAACTCCTAAAACAAGCACTAAACGTGGAAAGGAAAGACAGTTACTAGCCACTACAAAAACACACTGAAATACACAGATTGTGAAATATACAATAAAGCAACCACATAAGCAAGTCTGCAAAGTAGCCAACTAACATCATGATAACAAGATCAAATCCATACATATCAAGACTAACTTTAATGTAAATAAGCTAAATGCCCCATTTAAAAGATGCAGATGGGCAAGCTGGATAAAGAACCAAGACCCATCAGTATGCTGTCTCCAATACACTCACCTCATGCAATGCAGTGACACACATAGGCTCAAAATAAAGGGATGAAGGAAACTTTACCATGCAAATAGAAAGCAGGAAAAAAGTCAGGGTTGCAATCTTAGTTTCTGACAAAACAGACTTTAAACCAACAAAGATGAAAAAAGATTTTTTTAAAAAGGGGCATTACGTATGGGTAAAGGGTTTAATTCAACAGGAGATCTAACTATCCTAAATATATATGCACCCAATACAGGCACACCCAGATTCATAAGCAGGTTCTTAGAGATCTTCAAAGAGACTTAGAATCTCACACAATAATAGTGGTAGACTTTAATTCCCCACTGACAATATTAGACAGATCAGCAATACAGAAAATTAACAGAGGTATTCAGGACCTGAACTCAGTCCTGGATCAAATGGACCTGATAGACATCTACAGAACTCTCCACCCCAAAACAACAGAATATACATTTTTCTCATTGCCACATGGCACTTATTCTAAAATCAATCACACAACTGGAAGTAAAACACTCCTCAGCAAATGCAAAAGAACTGAAATAATAACAGTCTCTTGGACCATAGTGCAATCAAATTCAAAATCAAGAATAAGAAATTCACTCAAACCATACAATTAAAGAGAAATTGAATAATCTGTTCTTGAATGAGTTTTGGGTAAATAATGAAATTAGGGCAGAAATCAAGAAGTTCTTTGAAACAAATAAGAACAAAGATACAATGTACCAGAATCTCTGGGAAAGGGCTAAGGCAGTGTTAAGAGGGAAATTTATAGCTGTAAATGCCCACATAAAAAAGTTAGAAAGATCTCAAGTTAACAACCTAAAATCACAACTAAAAGAACTTGAGAACAAAGAGTAATCACATCCCTAAGCTAGCAGAGGACAAGAAATAACAACAAAAAAAATTAACAAAGGTATTGTCTCCTGAAGGAGACAGAGACACACAAAAGCATTCAAAAGATCAGTGAAGTCAGGAGGTTTCTGAAAAAAAATTACAAAAATATATAGACCACTAGCTAGACTAATAAAGAAGAAAGAAAATTCAAATAAACACAATTAGAAACAAGAGGAACATTACCACTGACCCCACAGAAATACAAGAAACTACCAGAAAATATTATGAATACCTCTACGCATGTAAACTAGAAAATCTAGAAGAAATGGATAAATTCCTGGACACATACACCGCCCCCAAGACTGAATCAGGAATAAATTCAATCCCTGAACAAATAACGAGTTCTGACCTTGAGGCAGTAATAAACAGCCTACAAACCACAAAAAAAGCCCAGGACCAGATGATTGACAGGTGAACAGGCTCAGCCCAAAAGCTTCTTAAGCTGATAAACAACTTCAGCAAAGTCTCAGGATACAAAATCAATGTGCAAAAATTACTAGCATTCCTACACACCAACAACAGGTAAGCTGAGAGCCAAATCACGAATGAACTCCCATTTACAACTGCCACAAAAAGAATAAAATACCTAGGAATACAGCTAACTTGGGAGGTAAAAGATCTCTACAAGGAGAACTACAAACCACTGTTCAAAGAAATCAGAGATGATGCAAACAAATGAAAAAATTTCCTATGCTTATGGATAGGAAAAATCAATGTAGTGAAAATGGCCATACTTCCTCATGCAATGTACAGATTCAATGCTATTCCTATCAAACTACTATGGACATTCTTCACAGAACTAGAAAAAATTATTTTATAATACACATGAGACCAAAAAAGAGCCCAAATAGCCAAGGCAATCCTAGGCAAAAGGAACACAGCTGAAGATATCAAGGTACCAGATTTCAACTATACTTCAGGGCTGCAGTAACCAAAACGGCATGGTACTGGTACAAAAACAGACACATAGACAAATGGAACGGCATAGAGAACCCAGAAAAAAGACCACACACCTACAACTACGATCTTTGACAAATCTGACAGAAACAAGCAATGGGGAATGATTCCCTGTTTATAAATGGTGCTGGGATAACTGGCTAACCATACACAGAAGATTGAAACTGAACCCCTTCCTTACAACATATACAAAAATCACCTCAAGATGGATTAAAGACTTAAATGTAAAACCCAAAACTATAAAAACCCTGGAAGATAACCTAGGCAGTACCATTCAGGACACAGGCATGGGCAATGATTTTATGACAAAGATGCCAAAAGCAAGCATAACAGAAATAAAAATTGACAAATGGGATCTAATTAAACTAAAGAGCTACTGCACAGCAAAAGAAATTATCAACAGAGTGAACAGACAACGTAGAGAATGGGGAAAATTTTTTGTGAACTATGCATCAGACAAAGGTCTAATATCTAGCATCTATAAGGAACTTAAACAAATGTACAAGAAAAAACAAAACAACCCCTTTAAAAAGTGGGCAAAGCATATGAACAGACACTTCTCAAAAGAAGACATACATGCAGCCAACAAACATATGAAAAAAAGCTCAACATCACTCATCATTAGAGAAATGCAAATCAAAACCACAATGAGATACTATCTCACACCAGGCAGAACGGCGATTATTAAAAAGCCAAAAAATAACAGATGCTCGTGAGTTTGTGGAGAAAAAGGGAATATTTATACATTGTTGGTTGGAGTGCAAATTAGGTCAGCCATTGTGGAAGACTGTGTGGTGACTTCTGAAAGACCTAAAGACAGAATACCATTATACCCAAAGGAATACAAATCATTCTCTTATAAAGACATAGGCACACATATGCTCATTGCAGCAACATTCACAATAGCAAAGACGTGGACTCAACTTAAATGCCCATCAATGATAGACTGGATAAAGACAATGTGGTACATATACACCATGGATTACTATGCAGCCAGAAAAAGTAACAAGATCATGTCCTTTGCAGGGACATGGATGCCCATCAATGATAGACTGGATAAAGACAATGTGGTACATATACACCATGGATTACTATGCAGCCAGAAAAAGTAACAAGATCATGTCCTTTGCAGGGACATGGATGGAGCTGGAAGTCATTATCCTTAGCAAACTAATGCAGGGACAGAGAAGCAAATACTGCATGTTCTTACTTATAAGTGGGAGCTAAATGATGAGAACGCATAGAGACAGAGAGGGGAACAACACACACCAGCGCCTTACAGAACGTTGAAGGTGGAAGGAGGGAGAGGATCAGGAAAAATAACTAACGGTTACTACGCTTAAAACCTGGGTGATTAAATAATCTGTGCAACAAACTCCCACAACACAAGTTTACCTATAAAACAGCCTGTACCTGTACCCCTGAACTGAAAATAAAAGTTACAAAAGGAAGTGAACTGCAGATTCTGCCTGTTGCTGAGCAGGTCTATTTCAATTATGCAAACCAGCGCTGAGGAAATAATCACAGGGTGGTCAGGGGCCCACTGGACCCGCTGTGAGAACGGTTCACGGATGTTAGGACTTCAGGTTTTCTATTCTTCTTAATTTAACCTTGCTAGGTTGTATGTTTCCAGGAATTTATCCATATCCTCCAGGTTTTCCAGTTTGTCAGTACAGAATTGTTCATAATAGTCTCTGATAACCTTTTGTATTTTTGCAGTATCAGTTATAATGTTTGTCTTTTCTGATTCTGTTTGAGTCTTCTCTCTTTGTTTCTTGGTTTGTCTAGCTAGTGGTTTATCACTTTTGTTTATCTTTTTGTAGAACGATCTTTTCACTTGGTTGATCATTTACTTGGTTTTTAGAAGTCTTTAGTTCTGTTCTGATCTTTGTTATTTTTTCTGCTAATTTTGGATGTGGTTTGTTGTTGCTTTTCTAGTTCCTTCAGGTTCATTGTTATATTGTTAATTTGTAGTGTTTTTACTTTTCTTAGGTAGGCATTTATTGCTATAAACGTCCCTTTTAGCCTTGTTTAACTGTATTCCACAGGTTTTGGTATATGTTGTGTTTCCATTTTCATTGGTTTCAAGAAACTTTTTGATTTCCATCTGAATTTCTGTTGACTCAATAGTTATTCAGGAGCATGTTGTTTAATTTCCACGTATTTGTCTAGCTGCCAAAGTTTCCCTTGGAGTATAATTGCAGTTTTATTCCATTGTGACTGGAGAAGATATTTGATATGGTTTCAACTTTTGAAAATTTGTTGAGATTTTTTGTGGCTTAACATAGGCTATCTCCCAGAAAATATTCCATGTGTTATGAAAAGAGTATAGTATATTCTATAGTGTTAGAGAGAATGCTCTGTAAATGTCTGTTAGCATTATGAGTTCTAAAGTTCCGTTTAAATCCAATGTTTCTTCTTGATTTCTGTGTAGATGATCTGTTTAATGCTGAGGGTTGGATGTTGAAGTCCCCACTATTATTGTACTGGAGTCTATCTCTCTTATTAGATGTAGTAATTTTACAGGCTGCTCTTTGTTAGAAAAGAAAATGACTTGCGGGCTGCATTTCATTAAAAGGAAAACCTTACTGAGGACTTCTGTACCCTCACTATCTGCCTAAATAATTTCTTCTTAACTCCTATATCACTGCCAGCCTCTGAGCCAGAGTGAGGTCACACAGAAAGGCTGGGACTGTGCAGAACACATTTTAGTAAAGATGGCTGAGTGACAGTAGTGATGTCCAGCTTCCAGGTGCAGCAGTGACGTCTCCCCTGGCCTCAGTGTCCAGTGTCCAGCACCAGGTGTCAGAGGTGTGAGCAGTGGCGTCTGTACTCAGCAGCAGGGGCAGTTGTTCCCAGGAGGGACCTGATCCAGGGTGGGCTGTGGATTCTGTTTCTGGATGTGTAGTTTCCAGTCTAGTTCTATGGCCTTCCCCACAATAAAATTAGCCCCCAGTACCATGTATGCTACTGTATGTGTAAATTAGAGAAATTTGGTTTCCACAGTTTTCTCCAAGAAGTGAGTGGGAAATGAGTCTGTGGGCGGGTGTCAGAGAGCGGCATTCACAGGTGTTCCTTGTGCGAGAGCCACATCCTGAACTGTCTACCTGGCCTCTACCTCATGGTGGAGAGAACAACAGGGAATGTCACATCTCATAACTGATGATACACATCCTCCCTTTTCTTTCTGTGAGAAAAATCCTCTTTTAAACAGGGTTTGAAAACCCACCCCACCCACCCACCCTGGCCACTCTCTGATCTCTGATCTCAGTGGTTCCCAATGTGGCTGAGCAACAGGATTGCTGGCGGGGCTTAGAAAATACACAGGCCACTCCCCAGAATCCCTGTCTCAGAATATTATGCACAAGACCAAGGAATTACTTATATAACAAGCCCTATAGGCAAGGCTGATGCTCAGACATGTGGGATCCTGGTGTTCTTGATCTGGAGACCAGCAGCATGAGCTCCAGCCTTGTCATAAATCAAGAATCTCTTGTTTAACTCCGGACTTCCTGGATCTCAGCACCACGTCCAGGTGATCCCTGTGGACATGGGAGTTCCTTGTCTAAGTGTCCTCTAGACTTGGGGTCAGAACTGTGCAGTCTGCTCTGGGTGTGGTCTGCTCAGATCCCTTAGAACTGGAGGTTCAGGGTTCTGTCCTTGCCCTCATTCTTTTCCACAGTCAATCACTCCCTTGGTGCCCTCATCCATGCTTGAGGTTTTAAGTATCATTTATACAGTGTGAGCTCCTAAATCTATTTCTCCTGCCCAGTCTATTTCTCCTTTCCCCTAAACTCTGGAGTTGTCTGTCCAAATTCCACCCCAGCTCCCCAACCTGCATTCCTAGTAGACATCTCCACTGAGTGCCTGTGATGCCCCCTCCTCAGTATGCTCCTGCCGGAGTCTCCGCATCTCCACTGACAGCAGCTCCACCCTTCCTTCTACTCACTCATTTTACAACCATGGGTGTCCTTGATTCGTCTTTCTCACACCACAGATACAATCCATTGGCACATGTTGTGAGTCCATCTTCAAATGCATCCAGAATCCCCTCACGTCCCACTATTTCCCCTGCTCACACCCCAGTCAAGGTCACCGACATCTCCAGCCTGGAATACTGCACTCGCTTCCTACTGTTCTTCCCTTCTGCCTCCCTCGTCCCTCACCTCTCAATTCTGTTCTCAGTACAGCAGTCAGAGATCCTTTTAGAAGAGAAGTTGTGGCTGGGCTTGGTGGCTCACGCCTGTATCCCAGCACTTTGGGAGGCCGACACGGGCAGATCACTTGAGGTTGGAAGTTTGAGACTAGCCTGGCCAACGTGGCGAAACCCTGTCTCTACTAAAACTACGAAAATTAGCCGGGCTTGGTGGTGGGTACCTGTAATCCCAGTTACTCAGGAGGCTGAGGCAGGAGAATCGCTTGAACCTGGAAGACGGAGGTGCAGTGAGCGGGAATCATGCCATTGCACTCCAGCCTGGGTGACAGAGCAAGACATCTTAAATAAATAAATGAATAAATAAATAAATAAATAAATAAATAAATAAATAAATAAATAGTTGTACCATGTCCCTCTTCTGCTCAAAATTGTCCTCTACCTCCCATCTCGCTCAGAGCAAAGGTCAGATCCTTCCCCACTCCCCTCAAGCCCACCTGCTCTGGCTGTACCTCTGACCTCACCTCAGTTTCTCTCTGTCCAGCCCTCCTGGCCTCCTTGCTTTTCAGGAAACACAGACACCTTCCTGCTCTAGTACATTTGAACTGGAGGATCCTCTGCCTGGAAAGAACTTCCCCAGACATCCTCATGGACAACTCTTCATGTCCCTCAAATCTTTCCTCAAAGGTCACCTTTGCAACTTGGCACACACTGACCACCCCAGCACAACAGCCACCTTCCCTGTCCCCACTGCCCACACCCTGGGTCACCTGTCTCACAGCACTTACCACTTTCTTCCCTTGCTCTGGTTATAATGTATCTTTCGTCTGCCTGTTCGCATTGGAACACATGCTACCCAAGGTCAGAGATTTTTCTCATTTTACTTCAGTGATGTTCCCCAGATGCAGAACCCCTCTGTCCTATGTCTGGCTGACGACAAAGGTCAGTTGAATGAATGATCAGTGTAGAGCACCTCCCTATTCTAAAGCCAGTATCTTTATTAACATAGCTTCAGGCTAAATGCTGTTTTGTGGTGGCCACAGCACAAGGTCCCCTCACACTGACACCGAGGCTGCCTGTGCTTTTCTCAGCAGTGCTGCTTGTGGTCCTCCCTCCTCCATCCTTCCTCCCACACCAACCCCCCCACACACCACAGCACACAATCAGGTTTCTCTCTTCAGGAAAGAACAGTCCTTGATGATGGGCCCAATTTCACAAACAAATATAAACCTAAATTTCACTCTGCTTTAGATTTGAGTTGGGATTTGAGCCAGCACCAAGATCACTAGAACCAGGGCAGGGAGAGAGGGCAGGAGAGGAGCCCTAGAAGGAGGGCAGGAATGAATGGATCTGAAAATTTGTCTCAGAAAGCACAGGGACTCCCATGTGCAGGGGCCACCCTGGGTGATGTGTGAGCCTCTGTAGTCACAGCTCCGGCTGGACAAGTTTCCACTGAAGGGACAAGGACAATGGAGCAGTGAAGTGACCCAGCTGAGGACTGACCACATAAAGCCTATGAGGGACTGAACAGCAACTAGGCACAGACCCCGTCCACATTCGGCTCCTCACAGCCTTCTCCAGTCCCCACCTGCAACAGACTCAGCACAGGGAACATGTGGATTCTGGAAGGTTCTCAGGTCTTTATTTCCTCTCTCAAATTTTAGGAATTGACTTAATTAACCCATCAACTTCTCATGGCAAATATTGAGAAAACAAATTTCTATTCAGATTCTTTTTCAGTAGGGAAGTAAGAGGTTGCAGCTCAATGCAGCATGAAGTTGAGACTGAGATGGAGACATCCAGCCCACCTCTCTGGAACAGGAAAGATGACTGGGGAGGAAACACTGGTCAGCATGGGAACAGGGGTCACGGTGGACACGGGGGTGGGCTGTCTCTCCACCTCCTCACATTATGCTAACAGGGTCGCAGACACATTCAGATGCCTTTGCAGAAAGAGATGCCAGAGGCTCTTGACGTCACAAAGGGGAGGCGTGAAGAAATCCTGCATCTCAGTCCCTCACAAGGCAGCTGTCTCAGGCTACAGAAAACAGTAGTCATGAACAAATTCAGGTCAGTCATGGTAAGTGATGACACTCTGAACAGTCCCCCCACAGACTCGAAACATCCCACTCAAAGAATCTCCATTACCCAGGCCTTTCCCCTCTGCCCCACCCCCACCCACTTCAAATCCCCAGGGTCTCACCTTTACAGGCCATGAGAGACTCTGATCAGAGTCCTGATCAGAGCCCTGGGCACTGCTGCTCCCTGGGGTAGAACAAAAACAGGACCTGGTCAGAGCCCACAGGAGACGTGGTACAGGAGGAATAATGGAGTGGGTGAGCTCCTCCACACTCCCGCCCCCGCCACTTACAGTAGCTCCCGCTTTTTCCACCTGCGGGAAGTAAATGTCCTGTGAGGATCTTAGAGGGATCTTAGAGGAACCATGGGATCTTAGAGGAACCTCCTAGTCTTGAACCCAAGAGAAGTTTCTAGAACTATGACTACAGACCCAGAGCAGGATCAGGAAACACTAGGAAAGCAGGTGTGGGTCCTGGACCAACCGCCCTCCTAAGGTCTGTCCTTAGCAGGGACCTTCCCCTGACTCATGAATGCTGGAATCACGATCCCAACACCACAACCATGAAGGTGATACATTGTCCTTCCTTGTCACGTGTGCTGCACAGAAGAGTAAGTGCCGGCACACAGGACCCAGGCAAGGTCGGCCCATGAGTGGATGGTGCTTTCCAGTAATGCGGCAGGGAACACTTCTACCTGGGGTTTGAAACCCCCAGTGGGACAAGAAAATCCAGATCCCACTCCTCACCCCTTCCCTACCTGAGCTCTCTGTCCTCCGCATCACAGCAGCAACCACAGCTACGGTGACCACAGTTCCTAAGACAGCCAGGCCAGCAACGATGCCCATGATGGGGATGGAGGGCTGGGAAGCCCGTTCTGGGGAAGGAGGGGAAGGTGAGGGGCCCTGACCCCAAGGCCTAAGCCCTGATCCCGCTGAAGGGCTCCAGAAGGGCTCCCGCTTTCCCTGAGATGTGACCCCTCATCCCCCTCCTTACCCCATCTCAGGGTGAGGGGCTCCAGCAGCCCCTGGTGCTGCACATGGCACATGTATCTCTGCTCTTCTACAGAAGGTACCACCACAGCTGCCCATTTCTGGAAGGTTCTGTCCCCTGCTGGCCTGGTCTCCACAAGCTTAGTGTCCTGAGTTTGCTCCTCCCCATCCCGCTGCCAGGTCAGTGTGATCTCCGCAGGGTAGAAGCCCAGGGACCAGCACCTCAGGGTGGCCTCATGGTCAGAGACGGGGTGGTGGGTCACGTGTGTCTTTGGGGGATCTGATGGGAAGAGTCAGAAAATTCAGGGGCTTTGCATCTCTCATGAGACAGCCCAGCAGCACCCATGTGACCACCCTGAGAATGAACAGGACACCTGGGGTGGGGGATGGAGCACAGAAGCCAGACACCAGCCTGGACACAGGCATCTGGGATAATCTCCTATTCCTTGGAAAGTTCTAATCTCTGAGGGAGGAACAGCGACTTCTGGTCCTGACCTGAGTGGAGGCCGAGGGACTCAGAAAAGCTGGAATCAGACCTTCAAACACATTGAGTGTGAGGAAGAGAACAAGGCCTGAGAGAAAAAGCTCAAGGCTGCTGCGGTGGTCAAAGGGGAACCCTGATCAGTATTTAGGGACTGTCTTCCCCTCCATTTCCTCAGAGACGTCATCCCTTAATTGTCCTAGAGAGCAGAGGGGGCCCTCAGAGGAAATCAGGAAAATTCGTGCCATTCTCCATTCAAGGGAGGGCGACATTCTAGCGCTGATCACATTATCCTCCCCTCCTCGTGGGAGGCCATCCTGGGAGATTTACAGGAGACGGGGAAGGCTCCCCACTGCCCCTGGTACCCACGCGCTGCAGCGTCTCCTTCCCGTTCTCCAGGTATCTGCGGAGCGACTCCAGGCACTCGCCCTCCAGGTAGGCTCTCCGCTGCTCAGCTTCACGGGCCGCCTCCCACTTGCGCTGTGTGACCTGAGCCGCCATATCCGCGGCGCTCCAGGAGCTCAGGTCCCCGTTCAGGGCGATGTAATCCTTGCCATCATAGGCTAACTGGTGATACCCGCGGAGGAGGCGCCCGTCAGGCCCCAGGTCGCAGCCATGCATCCTCTGGAAGGTGTGAGACCCTGGCCCCGCCCCCGCGGTCAGCCCCGCCCACTGAGCACCGCCCCGCCCCGACCAACCCTTGGGGATTTCGGCCTAAACTGAAACCGAAACCGGGCAAAGGCGCCCGCGGCACTCCCAGGTCGAGGGTCTTGGGCGGGTACTGCAGCCTCGGGGTGGATCTCGGACCCGGGCCCTCCGTGGGGCATGGGAAGGGGTCGTGACCTGCGCCCCGGGCCGGGTCACTCACCGGCCTCGCTCTGGTTGTAGTAGCGAAGCGCTGTGCGCAGGTTCACTCGGAAAACCTGTGCGTGGGCCTTGGCTTTCTGTGTCTCCCGGTCCCAATACTCCGGTCCCTCCTGCTCTATCCACGGCGCCCGCGGCTCCATCCTCGGACTCGCGGCGTTGCTGTCGAACCGCACGAACTGCGTGTCATCCACGTAACCCACCGAGATGAAGCGGGGCTCCCCGCGGCCGGGCCGGGACACGGCGGTGTGGAAATACCTCATGGAGTGGGAGCCTGGGGGCGAGGAGGGGCTGAGACCCGCCCGACCCTCCTCCCCGCGCGGCTCCCCGGGCCCTGAGCCCCCGTCGGGCGGACCCCTCGCTCCTCCCCGCCGAGGCCGTCTCCCTCCCGACCCCGGACTCACCGGCCCAGGTCTCGGTCAGGGCCAGGGCCCCCGAGAGCAGCAGGAGGAGGGCTCGAGGCGCCATGACCCCGTCCTAGGCGTCCGGGGAGAGTGTGAGTCTGAGTGGGGACTTTAGAAGCCGGACCGCAGAGACCCTGATTGGCTTCTCTAGAATCTGACACCCAATGGGAGTGGGAACTGGGGCCGCGTCACGAGAGTCCTGTAGAAAGGACCCAACACAGGTTGGGAGAAGTGAAACTCAGCGCAGTGGGGAATCCCCAACGCAGCGCCTGCCCAGTGCGAACAGTACCCTGAGACCCTGAGAGCGACGCCTGGGACCTGGGGCTTGGTCCTGATTCCTCTTCTCCTACACCAAGCCTCTTTGTCACACCGACTGCCTAAGTCCTGGCCAAGGATCTGTCTGTGGAAACCAGGGACAGACCCCCAGGCTGCGCCCAGATCCTTCCTCTTCAGTGCTCGTCCTGGAATCCCCGACCCTGAACTCGACTCCCTCCCTCCCTCTCCTGCCTCTCCCCTTGGACCTTTGTACAGGGAAACTCACCACGGGGAACTTGATGCCAGAGAGTGAGCTCGCCCTGGGAATGGAGGTGTAGAGACAGGGATTTTTTCTCTAAACCTGGTGAGGTTTTGTCTGAAGGCACCACACAGAGATTCTCATGGAGACCAGTTTCCTTTTTGTTTTTTAATACAGTAGATAGTACAATATTGGTAATCCCTATATGATTAGAATTCCAATCTGTAAAAGACCTGTGTCAAAACAGCATTATAATTAAACTATCAAAGCTCCTGTTTTACTTTCCCAGACTATGGATCTGTGACTCTGAGTTGTTGCATTTAAAATTATCTTCATTCCCTAGCCCGAGTTTCCCTGTGTGAGTCCAGAACATCTCCTCAACACAAAGAAGCAGGGTTTGTTACTGTCTATTGCAACCGGGAGCCTGTAGTCATCACCTCAAATCTGCCAGTGCTCCATGCAGACCCAAGGCTCTTCACCAACGCTCAAGCACTGCCTGTTTTCCTGAACTCTGCACATCTAAGCAGTGTGCACATGTTATTTGGACACTTGGTATTTTTGTAAACCCCCCCTTTTTTTAATCATGAGGGGGTCATTAGTTTTTGGCAGTCCCACAAAATGTATTAAATATCAAATGCAAACAACCCCCTACTAGGCTCTTCCACTGCTTTAGAATTCTTTCCTGTCTCCTTTTCCTCACCTCCTGCTTCCAGCCCTTCTCTCTGCCCCTCTCATCCCTCACACCCTCCTCTCCCCTTAGTCCCCGCCACCCTTTCGCTCCTGAATTGTGGCACTAACACTGTCCCTCACCTCCTACCCATGTCTGTTCTCCCCACAGTGCTCAGCGGTCCTGCTAATGTGACTCATGTCGTGTCATTTCTTCACTTACTATGGCTGGATTTTGGTCTACAATTTATATGTTTTCAATTTGTCTCGTATCTTTTTGTTTCTGTTCGTCCTTTGCTATGTGTCAAGTGAACATTTTTTAGTTTTGGTTTTAATTCTCCTAGTGACTTTTAGCTATATTTCTTTACACTAATGTTTTATTGTTGTAAGAATGGAACCGGATTCCTTGACTTTTCACAGTGAAGTTCAGATTATAGTAAACTACATTCGGCAAAATAAAGGATACTTGTAACAGTGTAGTTTCATTTAACCTACCATTATGCTATTATTGTTTTATATATTATATCAATCTATATTATAAACTCAATGATACAGTGTAATACCTTTTGTTTTAGACAAGTAGCCATATGTCTTCAGGAAATTAAGAAAATGAGTGTGAATGTGACATGTGTATGTGCATCATTTCTGTTGTTAATTGTTCCTTTCTGTGTATCTGGGTCACCATCTAGTATCATTTCCCTTCACCCTGAAGAATTTCCTTTAAAATTAAATATAATACAGGACCTCTAGGAAATGAATTTTATGGCTTTGATGATATAAAAATGTCTTTATTTTTGCCTTCTTTCCCCCTCTTTTTTTTTTCTGCTTAGTAGGATATTTATGTGTAATAAAATTCAACAGCTTTAGCTGCGCCTTTTGGTGAATATTGGTAAGTATTTATAGTCGTGTAACTACCACACTGCCCAGTAGAGAAACACCGAATGCAGAGAACCCCCTGCTAGGCTCCTCCACTGCTTTGGAGTCCTTTCCCCTGCTCCTTGTCCTCACCTCCTGCTTCCCCAGCCCTTCTCTCTGCCCTCATCCCTCACACCTTCCTCTCCCCTTAGTTCCCACCACCCAGTTACTCCTGAACTGTGGCACTGTAGAGAACAGTTTCTTTTCCCTAAAAACCTTCTTTATGCCCCTTTCTATTTAATCCTTGCCTCCCACCCTCACCCTCTTCCCCTCATTCAACCACTGCTCTGCTTTCTGTCGCTGCAATGGTGACATTTCTAGAATGTCACGGACATGCAGTCATATGTTATGTAGTCTTTTGTTTGGTCTCTCCTTTAGCATAACGATGTTTGAGATGATGCCATTCATTCATTTTTATTGCTGAGCAGCTGCTGACTATTGTTGGAATCCCAGTTTATTCGTTGCTTTCTCTATTCTCCAGTTGATACACATGTGGACTCCTCCAGTTAGGGTTTATTATTAATGAAGCCACTAGAAATAACTGCTTATAAGTGTGGCCTTACATTTTTATTTCTTTTGGATAACTACATATTTGTGGAATTGCTGGGTCATGTGGTAATGGATGGGTAACTGTGTAAGAAATTGTCATACCACTTTACAAATTGGCTGCCACATTTTTTGCATTCCTACCAGCAATATCAGACATTCTTGTTTTTTCCATATTCTTATCAGTGTTTAGACTTATCATATGTCTTTTTAACTTAACCTACTCTAGTTGATGTGTGATGGCTTCTCATTGTGGTTTTAACTTGCACTTCTTAGATGACTAGTATTGTTTGCTATCCTTTCATGTTCATCTAAGTGACTTATTACATATATTTTATGAATTATTTTGTAAATTCACTGATTAATTCCAGAGACTTTTTCAGAATTCCCTAGTGTTTTCTAAATAAGCAATGAAGCTGGTAACAAAGAAAGTCTTTTTCGTCCTTTCTTATCTATCGACCTTTTTTCTTTTAAAATTATTTTTATTTGGTAGAGATGAGGTCTCACCTATCAGACTGGTCTCAAACTCCTGAACTCAAGTGATCCTCCCCACTCAGCCTCCCAAAATGCAGGGATTACAGGCGTGAGGCACCATGCCCCGTCCTTGTTAACACTGGTTAGGATGCCTGTTAGGCATTTAAGCAAGAATGATGAGAGCTCACATGTTTGTTTACAAGGAACTTAAACAAATTTACAAGAAGAAAAAACACCCCCATCAAAAAGTGAGCAAAGGATATGAACAGACACTTCTCAGAAGAAGACATTTGTGTGACCAACAAACATATGGAAAAAAGCTCAATATCACTGATCATTAGAAAAATGCAAATCAAAACCACAATGAGATACCATCTCCTACCAGTCAGAATGGCAATTATTAAAAAGTGAAGAAACACTAGATGCTGGCGAGGCTGTGGAGAAATAGGAACACTCTTACACTGTTGGTGGGAATGTAAACTAGTTCAACCACTGTTGAGGACCGTGTGGCCATTCCCCAAAGTTATAGAACCAGAAATACTATTTGACCCAGCAATCTCATTACTGGGTAATGAGATACCCAGTAAGGGTATAAATAATTCTACTGGGATATAAAGGGATATAAATAATTCTACTGTAAAGACACATGCACACATATGTTTATTGCAGCACTATTTACAATAGCAAAGAAAAAGAACCAACCCTAATGCCCATCGGTGAGAGACTGGATAAAGAAAATGTGGTGTATATACACCATGGAACACCACACAGCCAGAAAAATGAATGAGTTCATGTCCTTTGCAGAAACATGGATGAAGCTAGAAGTCATCGTCCTCAGCAAACTAACACAGGAAGAGAAAACCAAACACTTCATGTCCTCACTCCTAAGTGGGAGTTGAACATTGAGAACACATGGACACAAGGAGGGGAGCAATACACATCAGGGCCTGTTGGGGAGTGGGTGGTGAAGGGAGAGAACTTAGAGGATGGATCAGTAGGTGCAGCAAACCACCATGGCAGATTATGCATATGTAATAAACCTACACATTCTGCACATGTATCCTGGAACTTAAAGTAAAATAATATAAGTTAAATAAAAAAAAAGAAAACGCATGTCTTACATGTATACATATGTTCATTGCAGCACAATTCACAATAGCAAAGACGTGGAATCAACCTAAATGTCCATCAGTGGTAGACTGGATAAATAAAATGTGGCACATATACACCATAGAATACTATGTAGCCATAAAAAGAATGAGATCATGTCCTTTGCAGGAACATGGGTGGAGTTGGAGGCCATTATCCTTAACAAACTAAGAAAGGAACAGAAAACCAACTACCACATGTTCTCACTTATAAGTGGGAGCTAAACTATGAGAGCCCATGGACACACAGAGGGGAACAACACACACTGGGGTCCACTTAATGGTGGAGGGTAGGAGGAGGGAGAAGATTGGAAAAATAGCTAATGGGTACTAAGGCTTAATACTTGGGTGGGTACTAATGGGTATAGAAATAATTTGTACAACACAATCCCATGACACAAGTTTACCTATATAACAAACCTGCACATGTACCCCTTAACTAAAAATAAAAGTTAAATTTAAAAAAACAACAACAACAACAACTAACAAAGTGCATATCTGGAAAGAGCATATGGTTGGGTTCTGTGTTTTTTTTTAAACCAAGTCTTATAATCTCTGCCCTTCATTGGAGTGTTGATTCATCCAGGTTTTTGTCATTATTGATATGACAAGTTTTAGGTCTACTATGCTATTTTCCCAGTTTTTGTTTCTCTGTTCCTCTTGTCATGACCAATTACTTTTTATTAAAAACCATAGAAACAAAAGAAAGTAGAAAAACATCTTTAAAATGCTGGAAGAGAAAAAGGTCAAAAAGAATTCTATATCCAGCACAGATGTCTTCCAAGGACAGACAAAATAAGGGGATATTTCAGGTAAAAGAAAATGAAGAGAATTTCTCATCAGCAGATCTGTACAATAACAATTGGTAAAGAAAATTCTTCAGGCTAGAGGCAAATTATACCAGGTGGAAAATGAGATTATCAGAAAATATGAAG